AAGTTAGCTGTTAATAGATAGAAAATAATAAACATCAATAACATATTCCAATTGTTAGAAAAATAAATAAAAGTAGTAACATCACAAATAATCATGAAAGTAAACTCTCTGATTGAAATCAAATAAATAGTAAGTAAATAACCGACAACTTAAAAAAAACCCTTTTTTGTACACATCTCTGTAGTTTTCAATTAATTTAAAAAACAAACTAAATTCAAATAAATTTAATAAGAAAAATCTATAAAAAAACAACACATATATAATAAAGATAAGGTTTTCGTTTTATATAATTCCATATAAATAAAATTGCTCACAATAATTTATAGTAACATAATAAACGTATTTATATGTAATTTCAAACACTTTTATTCTTTTCAAAAGTGTTGATGGATTTGCTGTATTATTACTTTTACTTAAATCATTATCATCATAATTTGAAGCTATATAGATTAAACAAATATTATAAATTATTATTAGAACAATATTAAAAGGAAAATCAAAACTAAATATCTTGCTCATTAACATAGTAGCAGCTTTCATAAATATTGTAATTATTGTATTAACAGGTTCATTATATCCAATTTTTATTTTTTTAGCATTAGATCCCAACTCTAAATAAAAATCATACTTCATTATTGATTCATTTCTATATCTGTTTAAGTAATCTTTTTATAACTTAATAATTTGTAAAAAGAAATATGAATATGGCAAATAAAAATTTTTCTTTTACAAATCCAATAGAGGCAAAATACTTAACTACCTCCTCCTTAGTTTCTTGAAATACAATACTTCCAGTAGTCATTAAAATAAATTCATCGAAAAAATTTAATAAACTTTCTGATGGTTCATAAACTGATAAAAGAACAACTTTACCAAGATTAGACAATTTCTTAATTAAAACTTTACCAATAGAAAAAATATTTAAAACAGTAATTAATTCAACAAGTATGTAAATAGATGCTTGTGTAGTTAAATTTCTTGATATTAATATTTTTATTTGTTGTTTATTTTTCAAATTCCTTTTCTTTCTCTTCTGTTAAATACAAATAACAACATTATTATTAGCTAAATTTCATATTCTTATTAAAAAGATTTATTGTATGCTTAAACTATGTCATTACTGTTATATTTTAATATCCAAATTTAGATTTAAAGTGAAACCTATAAAAGTTTTTACAAAAAAATTACCCATAACATTAAATAAAATGGTTAATCGAAATAATAAGAAACAAATATTTAACAAAACTAAAACTCAGGCACAAGCGAAGGTATAATTATCGAAAAAAAAACATTCGATAGTAACAAGGGTATTTATAACTTATTTTATAGAATCTTTATAATAAAAACTTTATAGTTAGAATAAAGATTCTTAAAGCAAACAAGAATAAGAAAATGAATTGTTAACTATTATTTACAGAATCGTCATTGATGAAGATATTTGTTTTTTGAACAAAAGGGACTTTAGAATAAAAATTTGAGAAGGGGTAAATAAATTATACATAAGAAACATTTATTATAACAGCAAAAAACAAGTAAAGAAACCTTTTATGTAAGAGGTTAACATTAACATTGAGAACACATAATACACAACTTTTAAATATAAAATCATTATTTAATTTTTGATCAAAAGATAATTTG